CTTTCTTTCTTTCTTTCTTTCTTTCTTTCTTTCTTTCTTTCTTTCTTTCTTTCTTTCCACCATGATTTTCCTTTCTCCTCCCACCTTTTTTTTTTTTTTTTTGAGACAGGATCTTACTATATAGCTCTGGGTGGGCTGGGACTCACAGAGATCCAACTACCTCTGCCTTCTACATGCTGAAATTAAAGGGGGTGTGCCACCAGAAACAGCTTCTTCTCCTTCTTCTTTTGTAAAGCTTCTTTTGCCAGTGGCTGGAGAGGCGGATCAATAGTGTAGAGCACTTTTACTGCTCTTCCAGAGGACTCAGGTTTTGTTCTGAGTGCTGGCATAGAAGGTGTGTGCCACCATGCCTAGTTACAATTTGGTATTTTTTATAATGTGCATATATAACTTTTCTTTGTGATATAAACATATATCTTAAGTCCTTTTAACAACAATAATAACAACCACAGAAACAAAAACTTGCAATGATTGGATATAGAACTTAGCCTCAGGCCAGCAAAATGATATAGCATATTGCCATGTTCTTGGTTGGATGTTAAGACTCATGCTTTAGCTGTAAGATAGAAAAACCGATTGGAACTGAGATGACACCTTTCTTGCTGTTGGTTTGCTTTTGTGGTGTTGGGAGTTGCTACTCAGGCTTCTAAGGGAGAAGAGGCACCAACAGTCTTACTCAACTGACTGCTATACAACAAAATTGCCAAGTAAGATGTCTCCACTGGTACAATAGTGGCATGATTGTTATGTAGGATACCAACTGCTTTCTGGTTGAAATTAACACTCACTTCATAGGAGGGAATTCATGCCTGGTAAGGTGAGCTTGGCCAAAAGCTCATGTCTGGGGAAGTTATAGCTCTTGTGGAAATAGTGCTGATGGCATGTTTGCTAAATGAGCATGAGGTGGCTTTCAACTACCTTCTAAATATTTATGCCCAAGATTGAGGCTGTGCTCAGTCCGGAGCATAAAAGCTTCCTTTCGTATTGAACAATCATTACTGCAGAAACTCATCAAGTGAGAATGCTGAGAGTAAGTGACTGTCGAGTGTTCAGCCCTGACATTACCCTGCCCCCAAGGCTCAGGACAGTCATAGCACAGCAAAAGAAAGAATGTAAGATCCAGAGGATGGAGAGAAGTACTGTCTTCCAGACGTGACATGGTTGTTTTTTCATGAACTTAGCTATGGATAGTTTCACAAGATCTGCAAAGGATTAGGCTTGCTAACAAGAATCCCTTCAAAGTGTTTAATTCAATGTTTCTTAGTGCATTGACAACATTGTACAATCACTATTATCTAATCCCAGAACATTTTATCACGCTAAAAAGAGATCCGTGTTTAATAGTGATTCACTAGTTCCTTCTACTCCAGTAAAAACTGATTTTAAAACATTTAAGAATGAAAAAGGAGTAAATTGAAAGATACAGAACATTATTTCTAGATGTTTTGGGTATAGAATACAAGAATCCAAGCCTTTCCTAAGCAGTGTAACAACTTATTACCAATTATATAAGTAGTAAGATGCTCATGACAAAATACAGAAGTAAAAATCCATCACTCTTGGCCTGGAAAGAGAAGGCTCAGCTAGTGCAATGCTTATCTTCTAAGCACGAGGACCTGACTTAGACCTCCTAAATCCACAGAAAAGGCCAGGCATGGTCGTGCTTCTAACTTCAGAGCTGGAGATGGAGAGAGGCAAAGACTCATGCCCTATTTAGAGACCCTGTCTTAAAAAACAAGGAGGGCAGCTCCTGAGGAACACACCTCGTGCACGTCTGGCACGCGTACATACAGTTGTGCCCACACAAACGTGTAAATACACCAGGGCAACACACACACACACACACACAGACCCTTTCATGCTCAAATTCTTGTAATAGAATCTGTCCTATTGCCCATCTTAGACTTTTAGACATTTTAACCTGACACACAGACGGAGCAGAGTCATGGCAGAGGCAGCATGACGGACGGACCTCGTGAATGGATTAGGGAGACTGAGAGGCTGTAAGCAGTGAAGTCCACGTATATTTTCGGTACAATTTACCTCTTTCATTAAGCAAGTAGGTACTGGGGTCATCTGAGAACTTCGTAGAAACGCATAATTTCTCCTTCTACCTCTTCATCTGCATTTCAGCACGGCTCCGGGTGAGAAAGAAGCATGGCTTTCCTAGTTTCTAAGGACAGTTTAGTACGAGAAGGCTAAGTCCTGAGTCCTGAGACCTGCAAGGGCTGGTGGCCTGGGGGGGGGTGGGGGAACAAAAAGGGGGCGGGCCCCCAGCATCAAGCTGCAGAGTCCAACCATCCAGCCGCTTCGGTGGGCCATCTCCAGTGGACATTTGGCTACCAGTCCTCAGGGTCCTCGGAACCCCGTTCGACGGCTCCGGAAACTCGGTCTACCCAGCCTAGGCCGGGGAACGCCTTCCTGCCTGTGAAGATCAAAAGGTAAGGCTATCAGCGTATGCCTGGCTCCTCCCCCGGCCCTGAGGCCCCGCCCCACCGCCTGCTGGGACCGAGGAGGCTAAGCCCCACCCCTCCGAGCCACCCGGAAGTGACGTCATGCAGGACCGGGCAGGTCTTTCGGTGCTCTTCCCCCTCCCGTGCTCTTCCCCCTCCCGTGCTCTTCCTCCCTAGTCTCTTCCCCCTCTTTCCCCTTTACTCCTCGGTCTCGGGGTTCTGCGCCCGCGGCGTGGCGGAGGAGATGGAGTGAGCGTTCGGTGGCCGTCAGGCGCGCGGCCGGCGTGGCCACAGCCCGGAGGCTCCGAGGGAGCCGGCGTGGGGGACGGGCCCCAGCGCCGCCCCTCCAGGTGGCCGGCTGCGAGGTGAGTGACCGGCGCGGGCCCGGCGCTCTGGGTCTGCAGCTAGCTGGCGGGCTCCGGGCCTTCCCGGCCTCGCGGCCGGCGACTGTTGCCTAGTGACGGGCCGGGGCGCGCGGGCCGGCCGTGGGTGGCCCGGGAAGCCTGACCCAGGTAGCGACGAGCCGGGAGGGAGCGGATCTCGGAGGCCGGCCACTCCAGGCGAGGCCTTTGGATGACGGGAGACGCGGTGCCGGGTCGTCTGCCGCTGGGAGAGTCCCCGGAGCCGGCACCGGAGCTCGGGTTTCCGCCGTGGAGATCTCGGTATCCTTTTGGGAAATTGAACACTGCTCCGGGGCTGTCTCGGACTGGTGAAACAGCCCCCGTCGATTCTGAGACTCGGTTCCGGTAGCCTGGGTCACCAGCTAAGGCCTGGTGCTCCGGTCGTCCTTATCTGGCGGTAGTTGTCTTTCTGGACTGGACGTTATTGTGTGAGGTGGGTGGGGCAGATAAGGTTTGTGAGAATAAAATCCCCATGGGGGCTCCAGTGCGCTTGTTTGTTTAAGCTACAGAGAAAAGATAAAGGTTCAGACAGCTAAAGCTTGCAGAAACTTCTTGGGATTCGACTGGACACATTCCCTGTGATCAGTAATAAAGGACAGCGCTATTAGCGAATCTCCCTCTCTCACAGGGTAGATGAGACCCAGTCCAGCGACTTAAAAGTGATTTGATTGTAAGTCGCCAGCTAGAGTTTCGGCACATCAAAACCAGGGATTGTTTGTATGGTGACACTTTAAAAAACTGTATTTAAGTTTTCTGAGTTGTATGCCTTTGTTTGGAAAAAAAAGTAATTTAACAAAAATCCTGCAAGTCACAGACAGCCATTATAAAACACGAGCATATCTGGTGATTGCTTGAAATATTCCCCTTCAACTTTGAAGGCTTTTCCCTCTCTTAATAAAGGTTGGAGGAGAAGTGGCTTATGTAAAGGAAAGGAACCTAATTGAAGATGCGGGGCTTTATTTTTGTTTGGATACACCTTACACTTATTTTGTCTGTAAGAGCTATAACTAATACAGGTGTGTTACAATTCCATACAATAGGACCTTGCTATACAAATCCATTTTATATTTTGGAATTATATCATGTTGACATAGCTCAAATTTATGATCATTTCTCTCAAGAAAAAAAAATAGGGTCGTCTTATGATCAGTGTAGATTCTTCTCAGGACACCATTAACCTATAGTTAAGTTCCTCATCTCTTGATATTGAATAAATGTTTGTTAAATGAGTGGATTCACTGAGTGCTTAGTAAATGCACCAGAAATGTAGTAAGTTTTCTGGATGTATGTATCATCTTTAATTCCTACAACAATCACTAGGAAGTATGGGTGACTTCATGGATTAGAAATTATGTTAGGTAGATGAGTGTATTAGTTAGGGTTCTCTAAAATAGAGTATATCTATCTATCTATAGATATAGATTATAAGGTAATGTATATGTTATATTGTTGATATATACAGTTTATATTGAATCAATATCTGTTATTAGCTTGGCCTCCACAGTAGGAATGGGGTGGTTCAACGTTTTTCCATCTGCATGCTGGAGTGGCTAACCTGGTAGCTGCCCAGTCTAAGGTTGTGTGCCTCTGTAGGCCCGGTCTGTTGCAGAAGGTTTGGAGTATTGGTGGAGAGCTGTTTGTTTTCAGTCTACATTTAAAGGCTGAAGAAATTGGGTTCTGCTGTCAGCCAGGATGGCAACTGTAGTGGCAGCAGCATGGTAGGTTCAGTCACGTGGAAGGAATGAAAGCTGGCAGGTGAAAGCAACACTACTTTACCCTCAGAACTCTATATCGGGGCTGCCTACTCTGTAGGACATAACTCTTCCAAGAAATAGCCTCACAACCCCCCCCCCCCCCCGCCCCAAGGCATGTCTCTTAGTTGGTCCCAGGTCAGTCAAGTTGACAGGCAATAGTAACCATCACACAGTAAGTATTAGGATTGGGATTACACCACAGTGTCCTTGGGATTGGTTATTAAATACACAAAACTCAATCCTTGTACATGGCTGTGTGTCAGAATCACCTAGAGAGTTTGATGAAGATCCAAATGCTCTAAATGCAGCTTAGAGATTCTGATTTCTTAGAGCTGAGACAGTCCATAGGCATGTGGATAACTCAGGGCATTTAGCCGTTTATCAGTTTGAAACCTTTGACTTGTAGAATTCTTGAGCATTTCATGACTTCATTTTCACACATTGTGCTATGCCACACTTAGACTTCCTTTCCACCCTTCCCTTCTTCCTCCTCCCTTTCTCCTTTATGTTTCTTCCCTCCTTCCTCTTCCTTTCATCCCTCCTGCCCTGACCTGTTCCTTCCTTTCCTTTCAGTGTGTATGGTTTTAATTTTTTTTAAATTGCATTTATTTGGCGTGTGCACTTGTGTGGATCATGTACTGTAGTCACATATTGAGGTCAGAGGGCAGTAGGTTCTCTCCTTCCATCATGTGGGCTTGAGAGATGGAACTTGGCTCATCAAGTACCTTTACTTGCTTTGTCATCTCATCAGGCTTTTAGGTAGACTCTTCTGTAGATCAGGTTGGCACCAAACCTAATAACTGTTCAGTTGAGATGGGCCCTGAACTCCTGATCTTTCTGCCTCTGGCCTGATGGATTTCTTTATCTCTTCCTCCTTTTTTCCTTCCTTCCCTTCTTCTGTCTCCCCCTCCCTTTTATCTCCCAAGCCTGTGTAAATATTTTAGTTGTCAAATGTATTTTAAGTAACATTTTCATTGTAAGACATTTAACAAAAGTGCATGTTAATGCTAGATTTTAATATTCTTGGGCAATAAAGGACTAAAATAAAGAGTTATTTTAGCATAAATGAAATTGAAATATTACTTTTTTGGTGTATCTTATATTCATAATCAAGTAATTTCCTATCTCCTTCAGCTCCTTGCCATTAGTATCAGATGTTGTAATAGGCTGCCCACTTTTGCCAGGTGTATGCCAATCTAGTATTACAACAGATATGCCTGTTGGTTCCATGGAACGCCAGGTAAATGCTGAGCCAGATGGTAGGGTGAAACAGTCTTGCAATAAGACCGGTTACTTTCACTTATATTTACTGAACTTTAAGGGGGGAACTATGGTTGAGTTTCAGATGTCTTCTGAGTATGAGGAGAAATGGCCTGTGTATAAACAGACATTTCTCTCATTTTGTGTTTTAGAAAAACATCAGCTCTTTTCTTCATTAACCAAGTAAAAATTGAAAAGCTATTGTTTTTAGAAAAGATAAAACCTATTTGGTTTTGTACATGTCAAATTTCTGTCAGGCTAGTATTGTGAACCTTTGATCTGGGAGCAGAGCTAGGTGGATCTCTGTGAGTTTGAGGCCAGCTTGGACTACAGAGTGAGTTCTAGGCCAACTAGGGCTACACAGTGAGACCCTGTTTTAAGCAAACAACCCCAAAACTAACCAACCAAATCTTATTTAAGTTTAGCCTGTGTCCTACTATCCTTTTCTATTTTGTGTCATGGTTGTTTCAGGCTGTGTATCTTAGACTCGTTAGTAACGGTCTGTCCTTGGCCGCTTGTTACACTTACAGTGTACTTTTCTTTGAGTTTCTTTGAATGACTCTTCCTAAGCCCACAGTCCACTGACTCATGATGCTTTATGTGTTACCTTCAGTGTAGACTTTTTTCTGAATTTTGGGTCCCTATATCAAAATCCCTGTATTTCCTTATTGTCATTTATGCAACTCAAATTATACATATTCAGAATTGAGTTCTTCCTCCCCTAAAAGCAGTTGTGTCCTGGCTTGGTAAATGACTTCTTTTTCACTTGGATCTTGAATTTGTAGATGAGTAGATTGTGAAGAGTGGGATTCCTCGTTTTGTCTCATACCTTTATAAAGTCACCAAGTTCTCATCACTCTGAGGAGAGTTTATCTTTTCTTTGTTCTTCTTTCTCACTGCTGTTTTCTTAATTCATCAATTTGAAATGTGAAGTGTAACAAAATTACATTGCATAGTTATTTTGTGATTATAAAACATATTTCTATGTAGCTGGCCATCTTTCTCAGTGGATTGATTAGTCATCTACTTATTGCCAGGAAGCCTTCTGTGACTTCTAGCCTGGTTTGTTCATAGTCAGAGCTCTGGGTAATCTGGAATTTCTGGTGTCTTTTGCCATATTTTCTTTTCTTCCTGCTTTTGTGTGAAAGGCTTTTGTGTGAATGTTTCTGCTCCTATAGTGTTCCCATTCTCTAGTCACTTGCCACTTGCCTTAAAAACAAACATCTTTAATATTACTGTTTGGGTCTTGTAACACTGTATAGCAAGTATGTAACATTTTTACTTGTCTGAAGACCATTTTTTTTTTTTTTTAAGACAGGGTCTCCATGTAGCTCTGCCTGTCCTTGAACTCTATGTAGAGCAGAATGCCTTAAGCTCACAGGGATCCACCTGTTTCGGCTTCCCAGGTTCTGGGATTAAAGGCGTCACCATCACCTGGCTCTCAATTTTTTTTATCTGACTTTAGAAACTTCTATTTTGAAATGTGTAAGCCCATTTGTTTTTTGAAAAATTTTCCTGTAACTATAGTTTAGGGATATTCTAGCTTGAAGAAAAATAACTTTGGACAACAGATATCATTATTAAATAAAAAATAAACAATTGTTAATCATTAAGAAAAAGTTACTGATGACTCTTTTTACTAAACAGTTACCAACAAATGATCATCAAAAACCCTCATAAAATTTTACGCACATTTTATGACCTCATCTTATCTATTTGTGTGTGACTTGGAGGAAAGAGAGGAAGAGAAGGAGGAGGTGTGAGGGTGAGAAGGTGAGAAAGCAAGAAGGCAAGCCATGGCCTGTGGTGGTCAGAGGTCAGCCTCAGACGCTGGCTCGTGCCTTTTACCTCTTGGAGGTGGG